TCTTGCTGTGTGACACAAACTTGAAAAAAAAGGGCATGTGTCTTTGTGCTCTTTCATGAATAGGGGTTTTAGAAACACACATGCCCAATGCCCTTTACAGACATTTTTTAGTCCTGTCTCTTTACCATCCAAGTGAAGTTGACCTTGGGGAGCTATTGATGCTCTCTTCCAAGTCAGAAACTCTTCCTTTTTGCATTTTTATAAATGCAAAATAGACCAAAGAATGGAACCGTTAATAAATACAGTTTGAGGTTTCTGCCAGTGAGGAGCTTTATGTGCATAGACACAGTCAATGTGTACATCTAACGTATAAGGTTATACTTCTCTTTTATCACAGTGGTGGTGGAGAGGGATGTTGCTGAGCCCAGGGTGATCAGGGAACATGCCCCAGGTAGCATAACTAGTGACTGAGAGAACAATACGTTTTAACCCTGATCTAGTTACTTAGTGAGTGTAGACTATGGCTAAGATTGCAAACCATAACTAAGCTGTATTTCCAAATAAAGATAAAGGAATTGAGAGGAGGAAGAGTCAACAAAACAATATTTGTAAACCACTTAGCCCAGTGCCTGGCACATGGTATAATTCTCAGTAAATGTTAGTAAGTGTTATTGCCCCAGTAGAAACTCTTTGAGAACTTTCTTCCAGGGAGAATATTAATGATCCATTATTTGTTACTTGGGAGATAGGAAGTTATTGACTTATCACTGCCCGCCTTGGCATGTTGAGCGCTGTTTCTGTTCCTTAATGTGATGAGGGTACTTATGGGGAAGGCAGGGTCCCTGCTGTGTGGTGGCAGTAATTATCAGTGTTGGTGTGGCTGCAGGAACCGATTGCTAGCAAGTGCTAGTTTCTTTTTTTCTTTCTCTCTTTTTTTTAAAAAAATCCCATTATATAATTTAACAATCATTTTGTTCCATAGTGAGATGAAAAGAATTTAGCAGCCTTCAGCTGGAGCTGAATGGACAAGCAAATTATAGAAATCACTGACGTTAGTGCCTGGCTAGAGTAGGGTTGTTTCCTACTGAATATTTGAAAGTATTTTGTACAATCTAATTCTGAAAGACTGGAGTCACTGGGCTTCCATTACTTTCCTTGGGAGCTATAATTACGTTGCCTAATAGAGCTCAGTGGTGGGGCATTTTCTCCAGCTGATACAGGAGCAATGGATATATTTGTAGGAGGTCTGGTCACTGCGTTTTTCAAAATGGGATTTAGAAAAAGGGCACAAACATATTTTGCTCACTTGGAAAAATACTCTTTTCCTTCTTTGGAAGCCTGTTTCTTTGATCCATCCTGCTGGTGTTGAACCATGGTTTGCTACACAATGGTATTTTCTCTAACTTTTTATTATGGAAAATTCTCAAAATTACACAAAAATTGAAAGAACAATATAATGAACACCTGTGTTCCCCAAGAGCCTTCGGCCAGTGTCTAATCCTACCCTATCTGTTACTACATGCCTATCTACTTCCCTTATTCTAGTATTATTTTGTAGCAAACCATATCATATTATTTTTTTTAATTCTGGCGAAATATACATAACATAAATTTGCCTAAATTTTAACTACTTTAAAATGTATAATTCAGTATGTATATTCACAATGTTGTGTAACCATTGCCACTATCTAGTTCCATGGCCTTTTTATCTCTCTAAAAGGAAACTGTCACCCATTAAGCAGTCACTCCGGTTCCTCCTTAGCCCTAGTCCCTGGCAGCCACTAATCTGCTTTTGTCTCTATGGATTGCATATATGGATATTTCATATAAATGGAATCATACAATATATGGCCTTTTTTTGTCTGATTTCGTTGATGTAGCGCGTAATGTTTTCACAATTCATCGATGTTGTATCATGCATCAGTACTTCATTCCTTTCCATGGTTGAATAATATTTCATTTTTTTGATATACCACATTTTGTTTATCTCTTCATCTGTTGATAGACATTTTGGCTATTTCTACATTTTGTCTATTGTGAATAGTACTGCTTTAAACATTCATGTACAAGTTTCTGTTTGAACACCAGTTTTCAATTCTTTGGGTCGTATATCTAGAAGTGGAATTGCTGAGTCATATGTCACTTCTGTGTTTGACTTATTGAGGAACCCACAAACTGTTTGCCACAGTGACTACACCATTTTACATTCCCACCAGCAATGTATAAGAGTTCCAATGTCTCCACATCCTTGCCAATACTTGTGATTTTCTGTCTTTTGTTAAAAAAAATTATAGTCATCCTAGTGGGTGCAAAGTGGCATCTCATTGTGAGTTTGATTTGCATTTCTTTAATGACTGATAACACTGAGCATCTTTTGATGCGATTGTTAGCCATTTGTATACTTTTGGAGAAATGTCTATTCGAGTCCTTTGCCCATTTTTTAAATTGGGTTGCTTGTCTTTTTATTGTTGAGTTGTAAGAGTTCTTCCTATATTCTGAATACTAGACCCTTTTCAGATATATAATTCGCAAATACTTTTCCCATTCTGTGCATTGTCTTTTCCCTCTCTTGATAGTGTCCTTTGATACACAAATGTTTGTAATTTTGACAAAATCCAATTTATTTTTTTTCTTTTGTTGTTTGTGCTTTTGTTGTCATATTTAAGAAGCTATTGTTAAATCTAAAGTCATGGAGATTTACCCCAATGTTTTCTCCAAAGAGTTTTATATTTTAGTTCTTCTAGTTAGGTCTTTGATCCATTTTGCTATCTATGGCATGAGGTAAAGGTTTAATATCATTTTTTTTACATATGAATAGCCAGTTGTCCCAGAACCATTTGTAGAAGAGACTGTCCTATAATTTTATCCACAAGTGTTTAAGCATTTTTCTCTAAAACATAAGAACATTTTACATAACCATGGTACAATTATCACACTTAAAAAATATTAACCATATTTCCTTAGTTTCATCAAATATCTAAGTCTGTTTTAAAGTTGTAATTGTCTCAAAATTTTTACCAACTCTTTTTTAAAAATAGATATTCAAATAAGGTGCATCCATTGCAGTTAGTTGCTGTGTCTTTTTTAAGTGTTTTTAAAATCTATAGGTTTTCCTTCCATCTCTTTTTGTCCTCCTTGCAATTTGTTTGTTAAAGAAACTATTTGTCTAAACTGGCTTCCTAGTCTAGATTTAGCTGATTGTACCCCCGTGATATAACATGTTCCACACTTCTCTGAATTTCTTGCAAATTGGTGGTTGGAGCTAGAGGCTTGATCAGATTCAGGTTTTTGTTTTTTGTTTTTGGCAAGACTACTTTTTATATGATATTGTGTTCTTTTATCAGGAGGCAAATTATATTTATTTCCTTTTTCTAATGTTGGCAGCATTGATGATCACTGCCTGAATCTGTTAGTTTATTAGGGGGTACAAAATAGTGACCCTCTAATTCTATTATGTCTTCTTCATGTGTTAGATGGAATGTCTGGTTTTTATGAGGAGAAGTTTACCCACTTTTATTATTTAACTACCCAGTAGGGAGATTTGTATAAAGCAGGATAAACTCTTCATTCTTTCCCTTTATTTACTAGCTCTCAAATTAAGAAGTCGATTCTTTATTTTCGTGCAATGGTGCCAGTTATATTCTTTTTTGGTGGTGACTTTATTGAGGCATTTAATTAAGCATATTTAATGTGTTTCCAGACATTGCACTTACTATTCTTATCGGTGCTCAAATTATCCTATCTTTGGCCACTGGGTGTCTCTTCAGATTGACTTCTAAGACCTTTTTGACATAATATCATGGTCTTTGCTATTACATATGGTAATTTTCCAGCTCTTAACTGGATAGCATGTAGTCTATTTGTGACCCTTCCCAAATTTCCCTACAAAAGCTGCTTATAGGTCTCGAAACTTCGTTGAGTTCTTTGGGGAAGATGGGAGGATTTCCCTGGCCTTTGTGGGATCATAAAACAAGTCAGAACAGGTATTGGAAACTCCTTCATGAAACTCACCTCATGAGGTTTTATTGAGTTTCTACTAGGTATACAGATAAAAAGAAAACAGAATTTCTATGTGAAGATTCTGTAGCCTGGTAGGGTATCTTTTAGGACCTGCTGACATTTCAGGAATGTACATTTGGATAATGCCAAAAACATCAATGTGATTTTATCGTGGCTCCATTTTAGTTCTGTCTCTTGTATCAAGTCAGGAATTGATTGCTAGTTATTCCAAATTCTTTTCATATAATTATTAAAAAAAATCATAAGTACCTAATAAGATAACTTTTGTTGAAGATATTTTTTGAAGAAGAAAGGATGAAAATGGATGTGATTTTCTAAGCCTAGAAAATACATGTAAAAGTACAGAGATTGCTTTTCTTCTAGTCTCTATTTCCCTGTTAAGTAAGGGCACTGTTTATTTTCTGCCTGTTATAAAGTTGCTGAGTACTGTAATGAGTTTATATTTATAGAGCGCTTGGAGCTTTTTGGATGAAAGTTGCTAAATTAGAGTTTATTGTTTATTGAATTTATTTGATGTGTCTAACCTCCTGGGAACATTTTCAGAAGTTAATTAAAAACAGACAGTCCCCACTCTGACAGCTCATAGTGCTACTTACAAACCAACAACATAAACAGCGTGCACTTCTATTACCCTTAGTTGGGACACCTAGGGAACCATAGTTCATTCTGACAGAGGAATAATACTACTTTTATGTAAAAGATGGGTTGGTATGCTGAGTAAAAGCGGAGATACTCTCAACTGCGTCTGAGCCACCTACCCACTTCCATTTTTTAAAAAAATATTTAAAATATGGAGATTTTCCTCAATTTCCAGCTATAACTTATAATTTAGAAAATTTAAAAATAATCTTTCCTTTTTGTCATTTTGGGAGGAAATTAAGATAAAAGTTTATGTTTTCTATATTGTTTCACGGTCACCGTTTCTCTGCAGGAATGGCATCCCAAAGCAGCCGACTGAAATGGCTTCTGTCTTTTTAACCCAACCTAGTGGAAGCTGTGAGATGTGATTGTAATAATGGCTTGTTTGCTTCTTTTGCCAGTTGGTGATGGAGTTTTGTGGTGCCGGCTCTGTCACTGACCTGATCAAGAATACAAAAGGTAACACGTTGAAAGAAGAGTGGATCGCATACATCTGCAGGGAGATACTACGGGTAGGTGACAAGTGGGGGCCTGGGCTACCTCCCAACACAGGGTATCTTAGGAGATATTGGACGTTCTTCTGCCCTCCAGTGACATTCATGAATGTATCGAAAACTGTGTAGAGGCGTATTCTGACAGTGGTGGTGGCAGTAGTGGTTTGGTGCGCAGGCTGCTTTGATGGCGGTGAGAGCCTTCCTGGATAGGCTGTGTGCACTTTCACTTGGGCTGATGTCGGGTGATTTCCCTTACTCAGCAAGGGACTCATTTTCAGTGGTGTTTGCATTTAGAAATCTGATTTCAGATCATAAAGATGACGCCCTGCTTAGGAAACAGATTATTTTAAGGGATATTTTGATCACTTATTTAAATTATTCATTTGTGAAAGTTTATAACTAACATAACAAGTGCTGTAATGCTTTCTCACCATGTAAACTTTCTAAGGATTGTATGACTTTAGTCATTTGTGTACTTACAACCTAGTTTAACTGATTTTACCTTTTTTTAAAAAAAAATAACTCTGAGACCTATTCACTTAAAACAACAAAAAAAATGACAGGATGAGACTGTGCCTGTTTGCCCAGTTTTGCCAACAAATCCCATAACCAGGGAGTCTAGACAATAGTGTTATATTTGCTGAGCTTGATTCAGGGAGAAGAAAGTAATTGTGCATATTTTAGTTCATTTAGACTGGTTTTATTATCTCTTCCTACTAATACAGAGGTTATTATATGCCTGTTGAGCATTCTTATTAGATCTACCTGGCAATCATTATTTATTTATAAGTTCTGCCTTCTTAATTTGAGGGAACAAAAATTAAAACTGTTTTTCACTATGTGTCTAAGGTGTACCTTTGAGACAGATATGTGCTATGGATGGAGGGAGATGAATGAATGGAACTTAAGAAAGAAGAAAGGAAGGCATAAAAAGAAAATGTCTATTCATTAAATGCAAATCAGATTAGGCAAAAGATAAATAGAAAATGAAATTTAAGAATGATAACATTGATGTGAATAACCTCTACCCTAAAAACTATAAAATATGACTGATAGAAATTAAAGAAGACCTTAATAAATGGAGATATATAGTATTCCATGGGTCAGAATACTCAATATTTTAAAGATGTCATTCCTTCCCAATTTGATCCATGGTTTCCTTGAACTCCCAATTAAAATCCTTGTAGGTATATTTATGGAAATTGATAAAGCTGATTTTTAAAAAAATTATATGGAAATACAAAGGGCCAAGAATAGCCAAGGCAATCTTGAAGAAGAACAAAACTGAAGGATTTAGGCTACCCATTACCAGAATTTATTATAAAGTTACTAAGTAATTCAGGCAGAACAGTACTGTCACAAGATTAGACAGTGACAAAGGAAGGGAATCAAGAGTCCAGGAACAGACTCACATCATATGGACACCTGATTTGTGACAAGGTAAATGCTGCTGCCAGGAGGAAAGGGTGCTCTCGTCAGTAAACACCATTTGGCCCATTGAATGTGCATATGAAAACATGAAACCTGATGCTTTATGCCATATTCAATGTTTATGCCAGCTGGATTATAGATATACATTGGAAAGATACAAAAACCAAAGCTCTTAAGAGAAAATATAGGATAATACCTCCATGGCTTGGAGTAGGTGTAAAAAGCCTTCTTAAACAGAACACAAAACAAAATTTGAGGGGAAACAAGGAGGCTTGGCTGCTGATTTCCTTCACATCTGGCATGTGTCTCCAAGCTTTGACATGCGCATTGTGTGAACTTAATTTGAATTTCTGACTTAAAATTTCGCTCAAATGGAGAGAATATGATGGATTATTTAGTCATCCAGCCTGCCCAGTGGGTGCCAAGAATCTCCCAGGCCTCCGGGGCTGGGTTCTGCTCAGTATGCCTTTCTGCACTGCTGCGGAACCCCATGGGGCGTCAGTTGTTTGATCTGATCTGCAGGGTTCTAAAAGCAGCAGGGATGTTTCACCCCATGAACATCTCCCAATACCTTGTTTTAAATTGTGTGAAAACAGTGGTTTTCTTCCTTCTTCCAGTACATTCTCCCAAGTGATACCAGCATTTCAGATACGGTGACTCCCTGGAAGGGGCATTTGATCACCCAAATGTCCCTGGCCACAAGAAGTTTCAGGGGTAACCCTCTGTGCATTGTGTAATCTCCTTAAATAGAACCTTTGCTCACTTACGTCCTCTGGTATCTGTTTCCCTCCTTCAGTGGTGAAGGAGGGAAGGAATCTTAAGTCCCTCTCTTAATATTTTATGGGGTATGTATACTCTGTGAAAACCAGACATTTAAATCTGCTTGATGCCTATCTTGAGCCAAACTAATAGATAAGAAAGGCAATTTTTTAACACCCAAACCAGTGCCTCCAACTGTTCTATAACATGGTTTGTGTTTACTGATATTCCTAAATGTACATAGGGATCTTTCTGGACATCTGTACTCTCATGCTTAATTTCTTCATCAAGGGAATTGGGATATTTAGTTTTATTTCTTTTCATGTCTGCCTTATTTTTCAAACCACGATTTTGTTGTTGCAGAAAAAAATTAAAAGGACAGAAAATCATAAGTAATAAAATGACAACACTTTGATACCCAGTAACTTGAATTATCAAGTGCTAGCATAATATAATTTGCTTTTTCAAGACTTCAACTTTAGATTCTTTTAGATTATAATTTATCTGAAAAATATGGGACTTAGAGTACATCTGTAATGTAGAGAACTTAGCACAAAGAAGCCACAATCAGAGTAATTCATAAAGAAATGGAACACAATGAGGTTTGGACATCACTGAATAAATATCTCACGTAATATCACAAATACCATAAGCTACTAAAAATGACAGTGATAAATGCCAACAAAGAAAATAGAAATTGTTTTCCTTTTTAAAGGTAAGCCACGTTGGCTAAAGCCAATAGGAAATTTCTTGGCTGGTCTGAGGAATATCTTGCTCTGCTTAATTAAAATTGTATAACAGAAGGTAACTTTTCATTTTTAAATTCAAATATTGCCAAAAAAACCTGTGGGGATCCAGTTAAGCCAGGTTAGTTTTCTGTACAGAGACCCTGCAGATGTTTCTGTTACACATTAGCAAATGCAGGCAGTCCTCACTTGTCACAGTACTATGTTAACTGAAATAAGTACATGTCGGAACCATATCGTCACTTGTGTGGTTCCATGGTACCTGATACCACATCCAGTGTGCAAGCATTTCGTCTAACACAGACCATCATTGCAAGGACTGCCTGTATATTTCAGTTTGTGTTGATCAACTGCCTATAGTTGATCAGGTTAGAACAGCACTATGAGCACATGAAAGATGTGAATATAGTTCTGAAAAGTATGTCTGGGTGAGTTTAATTTTGATCATTAACATTCAAAATAATTTATGTGCATCTTGGTTTATGTTCCTGTTAATAACCCTTCTCAACTCTTCATCATTCCAGGGGCTGAGTCACCTGCACCAGCATAAAGTGATTCATCGAGATATTAAAGGACAGAATGTCTTGCTGACTGAAAATGCAGAAGTTAAACTAGGTAAGAACAGCGTGCAGTGAGTCTTGGAGTTGCAGGAATGTATAGGATTATATCAACAGCTTTTTAAAAATTAATGTAAATATGTCACTGTGGGTTTAGAGGGTATTGCCCTAAAAATAGAAAGGAAAATATTTCTTTGTCTATTGAAAAACATATTTTCTGAAAGCATTTTGAGGAGTGAATTGTATATAGTATGGAGAACAGAGCCATGTACCTGAAGAACATACAGAAATAATAGAGATGTTTTTTGTTTCAGTAGATATTAGAAGCAACAGACCTAAAAATAATCTATATTGTACAGATTGTGTATATTGTTGCTGCTATAACAGAATGCTGAGGATGCAATTGTTTCCATTAAAAATATCCATAGTTAGACATATTTAGAATAGTCAATTCCAGCTGCATTCCTATATGTTTAAGGTATATTTACATTGATTTCATTATTACCTTGGTCACCTGTATGGAGTGGATGCTCAATATTCTACTTTAGGTGCATACTGGTTATCCCACTTCTATCTGCCAGTTGCCAGTGGGGAATCATTTTCCTTGGCATATCCATTAGGGCCCTTCCTGAAACAAACCTGGGATTGTCCAAAGAAAGTAGAGGATACACACATACATTTGCCTGCTTGGTGTAGATGAGTAAGAGCATAAATTGACAAATATCCTATAGGATATGCAATTTATCATCTAGAAAATGATCACTGTCCATAAGATTGCATATTTTCAAAAAGATTTAAATATCTTTTATATTTATATCTCAAATATTTGCTCTTCCATTTTGTTAAAATATTTTATTTCCATTTTTTCTTAGTTAGCATTTGGCGCCAGACTTTTATCTCATGAATATTCCCTTTTAGAACAGAAGCATACATTATGTAGGGTAAGCAGTTATATACATATTGACTAGATAAGCTATCCTCAGAATGGTGGGTCTCATATCACTAATTACTTGTTGAGAGTATATTACATGCCCTGCGTAAGATACTTTTAAATAGATTATTCTTCTTAAACATCAGAGCAACTCCGTGTAGATGTCATCATCTTCATTTTGTAGATTAGGAAACTGAAACTCAGAGAGGTTGATCTATTAGCCCCAGGTCACACCACTCGTAAGTGACAGAAATAGCATGCAAAATTAGCTAGTCTGACTCCAGACCTTTGTTCTTAATCACTTTTCCTTTATCTCCTAAATACTATCCTTTATGACAATCAAGCTTCCCTCTTATTTAACACCGATTTTAGATCCATGCCGATGGGGACCATGGTTGAACCAATCATAACATTTTGTGCTTTTTTTCATTGGTATTTCATCCATCTATACATGCAATTTAAAAATGCACATTTACAATTGCAAGAATGTAAAGACAAACACCACATGTGCTCAATACTAAATTGGAACTAATCGATCAACACTTATGTGCACTATGGAAGTAAAACTCAAGGGAAATCAAGCAGGTGGGTGGGGGTAGGAGAGGATGAGTAAATTCACACATAACAGGTACAATGCATACTAACTGGGTGGAGGGCACACTTAACTTTGACTCAAACTGTGCAAAAGCAAATTATGTAACCAAAATGTGTATATGCTCATAATATACTAACAAAAAAGTATTACAATAAAAATACACATTCATAGGATTAAAAAGGTAAGAACAACCCAATTGCCCGCTGATAGATGGGTAAATAAACAAAATTTGGTCTGAATATACAATGGAATATTATTCAACCTTGAAAATGAAGGAAAATATGACACATGCTACAACATGGATGAACCTTAAGGTCATTATATTAAGTGAGATAAGCCAGTAACAAAAAGAGAAATACTGTATGGTTCCAGTTATACGAGGTACTGAGAGTAGTCAAATAATAGAGACAAACGGTAGAGGGATAATTGCCACAGGCTGCAGAGAAGGATGAATTGGGAGTTATTGTTTAATGGAAGATGTTGAGGAAGATGAAAAGTTCTGGAGATGGATGGATGGTGGTTATGGTTGCACAACAACGTGAATATGCTTAATACCACCGAAATGTACATTAAAATGGTAAATTTTATGTTATATATATTTCACCACAATAAAAACATACACATTCATTTTATCACTGTATAAAACCTAAGATCACAGACTTTCATTCACTTGAACAGTGGACTTTGGAGTCAGTGCCCAGCTTGATCGAACAGTGGGCAGGAGGAATACTTTCATTGGGACTCCCTACTGGATGGCACCAGAAGTTATTGCCTGTGATGAAAACCCAGACGCCACATATGACTTCAAGGTATGACTTCTTCATTGTGTTTCAAAAGAGTACCTGCTATCTCATCTTGAGTCTTGCAGTGGGAGAATTCTCAAAAGCCTTTGGATTTATGATTTATGTGACTGACCCGCAGGGAGAACTGGAAAACATATTTGAATTCAAAATTATAAGATACTCAACTAAGAATCTTTTTAATGAATTCACATATCATATCTGATTGTCTATTTGTAAAAAAAAATGTTTAAATCGTTTTCTATATTTTTAAAAATTTACTTTTACTGCTTCTTATTGGTAAATAGATTTTCATTTGTTAGTTTAGATTTTTGACAAAGTATATATTCTGATAGTTTTTTATGTTAAAAGAGCCCAAGATATGAATTTGTTGTCTTAAGTCATCTTTTTCTGATTACATGTAATCATATTTACTCATTTCTACGTTGCTCAAAGTATAAGTACTTGGGGTTTCTTCTTCATGAGAGAGGATCAAATGGGATGTTGGTAACTACTCCATGGTGTTTCTGTAGAGCAGCATGGTGTATCATAGAAATTTTATTTATGCTGTATTACTTTGTGTAAACTAGAAAGAAACTCAAAGCAGTGTTCAAGTAGACTCCTCCTAGAAGCCCTTGTCTTTTCTATTCTGCTAGCCAAAAATCAAACATAATTTTGGGTTACTGCCTTGTCAATAGCTGCAATATCAAGTGACATTACTTCTTAATGAACTGTGACTGAAAATCGAGACAATAAAATTGGGGACAATGGCATCTAGGAACTGTGGGTTTTCTGATTGTGCACTAAGTAGAGAGACACCATGTGGTCTTTGTGTACATCACAGAACAACCCCAGCTGAAACTGGGCTGGTTTCAGAGGTACATGGACTTTTACCAAAGGACTTTCATGATCCTCCCTAAGTACCCTCATCTTACAGATGAGAAAACTGAGGCTGAGGTCTCTATAAATGTACACTCAGTTAGTGATCTCAGAATTTGGACTTACACCCAGGTCTCTTAACTCTGTTCAGAGCTCTTTCCAATCTGTTGTGCTCCTCTACAATGTACTTCTGTATAAATCTCCAATTTATCAACCAAGGAACATATTTAAAGAATTCCTTTAAAAGAACATTTTTAGTTGTCTGCGTGTAGGGTTATTATTGAAATCAGGTCACAAAGATGCAAACATTGCAGTGTTTTCAGGGCCTGGTGTCTCAGGGTATTGACAAAAAATTATTTGCCTCTTTGGGGAGATGCAAGCTTGAAGGTCTGAAAACATAATAATCTCCTATAAATTCCTCCTTCCTTCAAAGTTAGTCACTGTGATAACCTGACAACAATCTGTCTGAAAACAGCTGCCAAGTTAAAAATTAATCTCCTGCCAAAATAAATGTCACTTATTTAAACTGCTAATGATAAGCATATTTAAGTAATTCCATTTGCAAATCCCTTCAGAGGAGCCGACAAAACATACATCCCAGGCCACATATGTGCACCATCCCTGGCTATAAGCAACTCTTCAAAGTACAGTTATACGTAATAAGTGCTAACTAGTCTACATCTGGGCCACACATATTTTAGACTACTTTATGATATAGCGTGAGAAATCAGAGTGTGTTAGACTTTTACCCTCTGCTTAACCTTTTAAGTGTTGTGACCGGCTACCATTGAATATGGGGCTCTTGTTCTTTATCATAAAGCAGATTCCTGTGACTGACTGAGTGTCATTAGGGTGACCAGGAGAGGTCTTCTTTCTGTCCAAGCCACGGCTTGGAGTTAAATTGATGTCTTGGTCCTCTTTCTGCAGATTCTGGCTAAGGAATATAGCTTGGGATCAGTGTAAATATGTGAGACCAAGGCATAACTCCAGGTATGGGCAGAGCCTGGGGTATGAAGAGCCCCAGGAGTATCTTGCCATCCAATGATTTCAAAGATACTGGAAGGTCCACATGACTGTAATAGAATCCTGAGACACTAAAAATAAAATGAAAATTATTTTCTGTCTTTTATTAAAAAACAAAAAAACCCTGATGGAGAGAACAGATTCAACTACATCAGTCACATCGACTTGAGTGCTAATTAGTGTATCTGGATTGTCAGGAATGTACAAGAGAAGGAAAAAGTCATGGCAAGAATGTGAGCTTCCCTAGTAGCTTGTCACAAGTAAAAGAAGGAGCATGACATTAGGATGACTAAGGAAGACCAGGCAGAAAGGAGGGCTTGGGGGTTCTCTGAAGATTAATTTTTGCCACCTCACAGTTTAATGTAGACCATAGAAGATGCTAATCTCTAATCTTCCTACTTCTTTCTTGTTACCATATATTATCCTTTTTTCTATTCAATATTCCTAGAAATGTTGCCTGTCACCAGGGGACAACTTGACAGTACACTGACTTTCAGAATCATGCATTCTTTCATGCAGTGTGTATGTATTGAATACTCACTGTGTGTAAGGAACTAATCAAGCTGTATTTGTATAAGCAGCTGCTGACAGAGAGCTCACTGGAGACCCCACCAAAATCCAAGGATTTGGTTCTGTGTGTTTGGTAATCCATCTGATCCAGTGGTGTATCCTAGCCGTAGAAGTTGATATCAACATTTTGGGCTTTCATGGGCTAGAGGTACTTTCAGCTAAGAGGGCATGTTTACAATAAAAGGTGACTTGGCCGCTGGACTTTGTTAGATTTCCTGCCACAAAAGCCTTTCCTGTAAAATAAAGACAAAATACAAAAAACAAGAGTGTAGCTTGGCTTTGTTATTTGATTTAGGATTTATTGGTTATTATTTAATTATTATTTATTGATTATTATGTAATTTGTCTAAGATGCCTCTAAAGGCCACATACTTTTTTTAAAAAAAGCACTAAAGTAATTCAGTATTGTAAGATCCTCTGTAGAAAAGCAATCTGAAGAGCGCGTGCTTTTTATTGCAGTCTGTTTTCATGTGATATCTACTGGGCCCAGTTAGCAACTCACTGAAAATAGCCCCTCTCCTAAGGAGGAGCACCGGAATCGCGTTCGCCTGGTGCGCCGGCCTTCCCCTGGAGGCCCTTCCTTTCTTGTTTTCAGAAATTGTCAAAACACTTCAAGTGAAAGGAAAGGTTTCATTTTCCTGATAAGTATGTGGGGCAATAATGAAAGCTTTCCCATTTAATAATAAGCATTCAAAAGATTTAAAATTAATAAAACTGTTCAGAATTCCTAGGCTGTTTAAATTGTTATTTTTCAAAACTTACTTTGAATTTCCTTTCGGTTGGCTAGGATCTGCTAAGCGTTTCACAGTCCTATGTAGTTATTGCTTTCCCAGAACCACCCCCTAAAGAAAGTTCTCTGTGGCCGAATGCCCATCAATAGGACACTGGTTGAACAAAGGCTAGAGCATCTGCCCACTGGAATGCTACGTTGCCATTTAAGCAGTGGCGTAGCATACATGTTGAACCTGGACTGATCCTAGGATATAGTGTTAGGTACAAAAAGGAACTTAGAATACAGGATACAAAATACAGTCTTGCCACCCCATGATACCCACACACACACACACACACACACACACACGGGAAATCTGGAAAGAACCTGGAAAAACTTAATAGTGTTTACCTCCAAATAGGACATGTGGATAGAGAACTTAAAATTTTTATTTCTCATATCTTTCTGTCCTACTATTTTTTCGATTTGTTTTTTTGCCATAAACAGGCCTTGTTCTTCTATTAAGCCAGCAAAGTAAGAGAAGTGCAGTGAAATGCCATATTCCCTCACTCACCCCCAGGTTCTGTCCGAAGGCCTGACCTGTGCTAATGTTGTGCATTATTCACCTAAACTCTGTTTATGAGACTTTTCACACAGGTGCTGCAGATTACTCGCGTACGTAAGAGTTGCCTGCAGGGTGTGGGTGAATATTGTGCACTGGCTATAGAGAAAGCACTCACTCTTGGGTCACAGATAATTGGTATTATTCAGGCAGGGTGGAAATGTCTCTTCTGAGGCAGAGGCTCAGCTGGAAATAAAGTGAGCGGCCTGACGAGTGGCAGAGGCACTGCGGCGCAGGGTGTCACCTGAGAGGATAATACTCAGACTGCAGAATGGTGCGGCTACACTCTCAAACAAGTCCTGGCCGTCGTCTGCTGAGATCCAAACAAAGGTCCTTGCCTATTCAGCCAGAAGGAAGATGACACAGATGCCATTCTAGTGTCCCCAGTGGGAAACTGAAACTCCCATAAAGCACGTTTCTGTGGCTCCGTGTTCACACCCACCTATGCAGGATTCCTTAGTCAGACCCAGCCAGCATCTCCTCCGGGCAGCAGGCTGATCTGCAGTGGAGTCTAATATGTCCCTTCGGTCAGGTTTTGTCATCTCGTAGGTAGACAAGGGGTTGACAGTTTCTGTCCTGAGCTTGCTTCATGTGTGAAATGGGATTATTAATAACTGCCTCTGTGTGGACACCCTCAGTGACCCTGAACTCACCACCTTTGTTCTGTTCACCTATAATGTCGTATGTGAGGACGGACATAATACATAAGAGTCCATCTTCTGAAGTCACACAGGACCAGTTTAAAGTAGACTTTGCCTCCTGTTTGCTATATTACTTCAGGGGAGTTATTTAACCCTTTCTGAGCCTGTATAAAATGGGAATCATAAATTGCATATTACAAGGTTATGATAGAATAAAGCGAGTTAATATATATAAAGGGATTAATACAATGCCTGGCACTTGATAAGTACTCCATATATGATGGGATGGTTTTGTGTTTGTGTATCATATGAAATGACTACTATTTGGGACTATTTTTGGACTAAGAAAACCCAATAATTTCATATGGTTCACCCATATATTTGTATTTACACATCTTTAATTGTCTGCTAACTTGAGCCAAAATCTCCTTTTCTGTGACTTCTACCACTAGATTAAAATGATGTCCTTAGGGACCACACAAAATGCATACAATTTCCTTTATGCAAATGGAATATTTCAAAAAGAATAAACTAGCAAGAAGTAAGTTACTCAAGGAAAGACCATTTTCTGGTTTGTGAAACT